TCTTAGGGAATGAGCTGGTGGAACACTTGCCCCCTAGCAGGAGAGGCCTAGAATGGACAAGGGCTGCTTTTGATGGAACGTTTCCTATAATGCCTTATTTCACTTCTAGATTTGACTGTTGCTTTGAACTGAACTTGATGATCCTTTAAATCTAATTTTCACTGCATTTGCTTGCAAATGATGAGGTAGGAGAAGCCAGTTTTCTACAGTAAAAAGTTATATGTGCCGAATGGAGATGATGTCTTGTAACTGGAAACATCTATCCTGAAAATTAAAGAACATCGTCTTAGAGATAAAAGGAGAAAACCCTTTGCATTTGTATTTGATACATTGCTGCCGTCTTTACTGCATGCTAACTGAAAAGAATTCATCACCTAGCATTGTGTAGAGGTGTGCAGTACAGACAAAAGGTGACAGTTAATTATTTAATGAGGGTGAATACAACAACGCAGAGAAAGGATTAGAAACATCCAAAGTACTCTAGACTGTAATTATGAAGAGCAGAGCATCTTCCAACTAAAGGAGGCTGTAAGGTAGAATAAGAAAGGTTCACAAAGAGAGGCTTTGCGGAGCTACTGTCTGTGAGCAAAGACAGACCCAGGCTGGGAGGGGTGCTGATACATAGCGAGTTCAGCCTTTGGATGAGACCCCTAGGTAAACTTAGGAAGCTGGCAGACATAATAGTAAAACATCAGAGAAAAACGTTAATTAAAAGTCCGTGAGCATAGTAGTGCTTTATGTTAGAAGACTGATGTGCCAGGAAATAGATTTCGCGAAGCTCCGTCCTGGTTGGTAAGGGTAGAAGGGGACACTTGCTTTTGAAGTAAGACACATGCAAAATTGTCTTCATCCAGCTGTTTTTGATGTGCATGGCATGGCTGTCACTGGCAGTGCACTGAGGGAATACAGAAGGCAAAGACAGGACCTGAACAACTGCTCAACTGCTCCTTTCTCTCCTGCTGATCTGTAACTATGGCACATGTATTTGTTTATGTATTGTTGTTAATAGACGGTGATACACTGGCCTTTAGAGATCCCAATATAGAGTCCCATTGTGAGAAGCACAGTATAAACCTCTAATATATCTCTGGGTTTCTCACAACTGTTAGCGTGAAGTCATGTCACATCAGATCTATAGAGCAAACGTGGTCCACGGTGAGGATATGTCGACCAGACACACAGGTAAGGAGGGCAGCCAAGGAGAGGGTGGGATCCTGGGATGCAGAGTACTTTCTTGAAAGATATGAGATGATGTGACTTTTTTGTATTCTACATGAGTGCTTTAAGCGTGACTTTATTCCTAAGTTTGTGTTAATAACTCTCGCATACTGCAAGTGAGCACTGTAATACAGTAATTTGCTCTCTACAGCTACCTAAAAGGAAGCTGTAGTGAGGCTGGTGTTGGTCTCTTCTCCCAAGTAACTAATGACAGGACAAGAGGTAATGGCCTCAAGCTGCACCAGGGAGATTTAGATTGGCTATTAGGAAAAATTTCTTTGCTGAAAGAGTGGTTAGACATTGGACAAGGCTGCCCAGGGAGGAGGTGGAGTCACCATCCCTGGAGGTGTTCAAAAGACGTGTAGCTGTGGCACTTAGGGACATGGTTTAGTGGTGGGCTTGGTCGTGTTAGGATAGTTGTTGAACCTGATGGTCTTAAAGATCTTTTCCAGCCAAAATGATTCTATGATCCTATAACATTTGTTCCATAGTTTTTCCACTGAAATGACAACTGTATTTGGTAGAATGGCAGTTCCCCTCTCCGCTGTTACAGATGTACCACTGGCACTAGTAAAGATCCTACAAACAGCTCTTTACTGTATTATTTAACCATGTGGTAGTTAGTCTTGGAGCACACTGGTTCTCCAGGGAAGCCTGGAGAATATTTGAGGTACCCACCAGCAGGATAGATGTTTGCATGTGGGTTGATGCTGTGTTTATCTGGGTGTTTGGGAGTTGTCCAGAACTGGCACTATTGTGACCATTTCTCAGAGAAATAAATCTCTGTTGAACATGGGTTCTTGATGCATCAGAGTGAAGGCAGATTCTCTCAGACTTTATTCCACGTATGCTTTATCAGGGTCAATAAAAGTGGGCTGAAGTGAGGTTTGTCAGTCGTAAAAGGCACAGGAGATGGATGACCACAAGGGAAGTTCCTTTCGAAATTTGCTAAAATCAAAGGGAGATGAGAAACATATGCAGATTGACTGACTTCCAACTCAGTCAAAACCTAGATTGGGGTGTGTAATGGGTCTGCCTGAGATGCAGCCCTCACCGTGCTGTGCAGTGGTAGCTAGATAACATACCAGTGTTTTGACTGCTGCTGAGCCGGGCTCACACAGCACCAAGGCTGCTTCCCCAACATTTCCCCAGTAGGCTGGGAGTGGGTAAAAACTTGGGTGGGGATATAGACAGGACAGCTGACCCAAACTGTCCAAAGGGATATTCCATACCACATGACGTCTGCTCAGCAATATAAGCTGGGGAAAACAGGAAGAAGGGGGGGACATTCGTTTCATGTTGGTCGTCCAGAGCAACCGCTACGCGTACCGGAGCCCTACTTCCCAGGAAGTGGCTGGACATCGCCTGCTGATGGGAAGTAGAGAATAAGATCTTTTGTTTTGCTTTTGCTTCCGCGCGCGGCTTTTGCTTCATTAAACTGTCTTTATCTGACCCACGTGCCCATTGTTATATTTTCTCTCCCCTGTCCAGCTGAGGGGGTGAGAGTGATAGAGTGGCTTTGGTGGGTACCTGGCATCTGGCCAGGGCCAAACCACCACAGGGTGGCACCAAGGCTGAGTGTAAAGGGACTTCAGGTGGAGTTTTTCATTCAGTAAGCCCTGCAATTGGCTGGTAGATGTTGGCTGTGCAGTATATGGGGAAAATGACAGGCTTTCAAATTCAGGAAATTATACAGGATATTTAAAGCAATTGTTCATTAATATAATTTCAATGCAGAGCTGAGGCTTTCAGCGATTGGATCAATTTTCAAATGTCACCCTCACTCATAAGATGTCCGAGAATTCATGTAAGGCTTTGGCACTCTCAGCCTGTTTTCCAAGTCCCTGGTTTCTGCATCTTTACAGTAGAGAACCTAGAGAGCTACAGGAGCTCGAAAAAGAGACATCTTTAGCAGCAGTGGCAGAACTCAGTGTTACGATTTTGAGAATTTAAATGCAGATTCTTAAGCCTGTAGGGCTCCCTGGTACGCTGAAAATGAATTGTATCAGGATGGGGTTTAGCTTTTAATCAGACAGCAGTGATCATTTCAGCAAGATGTGTTTGCATTATTAAGCATTAAAAATCCAATGTAAAGCTCCTAAAATACACAGTGGTGTCCACAAATATAGAACAGTCTTGTTATGTCTGCACTGAATCACCAGGAAAACAAGCTAAGCCTTAAATCGTTATGCCATGAGAGAGCAGAATTGATTTAAAGATGAGTTTCAAGCCCTTTTTCTCCTATCTCTGTCCGAACTTTCTTTCCTTTTTAAGGTTGGATCCTGGTTTTAGCTCTATATTTTGTTAGAGAACGATTGCATCTAGTGTATAAGCTACTAATTTGAATGGTAAGGTGTCAATCAAAATTTGTGAAAGTAATCTTACAGGTAGCATGGGATCTGTGAGGCTGTGGCTGTTCAGTATTCTAAATGCTCATTCTTTCCACTTGGCATCTACAGGGCATTCCAGAGCAGTGGGCCAGGCTACTGCAGACCTCCAACATAACAAAACTGAAGCAGAAGAAGAACCCTCAAGCTGTTCTAGCTGTTCTCAAATTTTATGATTCCAAAGATGCGATTAACAACCAGAAATATATTAGCTTTAGGCCAGGAGATAAGTCAACATCTTGCTGTGAAAAAGGGAGGGTCAGGCCCCAAGATGAGTCAGACCAACGTTCAACATGCAAGTGGTCAAGAAGCAACCTTAGGAAATTCCACTTTGTGGAATGCTCCTGAAATGAATTCTATTTCTCCTTTTCTCCCCTAAATGTCATTGAAACGGTGTCTTTTCATTGTCACTTGTTTTTTGAACTAAATAAGGTACTAGATGGAACAATCATTACCATTTTTAGTCAGAAGCATCAGTGGCTGAAGGTCATGTTTACTTTTTGTCTTCGCATCCTTGTTCCTTCACAGTGTTCAGATTGGGGTACAGGGTATACTTGTTTGTGCGTTTTATAAGTTACTCTTGGATCCTCCAGACTAAGAGGATTTTTTGGGATACTTTGTGACAGAGCACATTTTTCAAGGATATTCTTACATTAGCTGCAGAGCAGAGTTGGTTGCTATGCATAAATTCACAAACCAACCTAGGACGAAAGCTAGGAGGGCTGCTATTGTGATATAACGGGAATGTTGCCCCAAAGGAGATGGAAGGTGTCAGTGTCCAGAGCAGCCTTCGTAGCACACTCCTAGGCATGAAGATTAGGTCTCTCTGTTCCCTGTGGCCGGCCCTTGCTGGTATTTATACTGGATCAAAGTGATGCCATTTCACAGGTAACACAAATGAGATGTGAATATGCAGAATAGTGCCTTTGATTTGCTGCAGTTTTCAAAGTGGCCTGTTGTAGCCAGCTTTCAAGCAATTGGTAAGCACCCAAAAAGGCACCTTTTCAATTTTTTTGTTTCACCAGTGAATTTGTGACAATGTGATGTTAATGCCCTGCCTCTGAGTAGCAGCTGGGACTGGTGGGGGGGTGTCAGCTCATGTAACTTTAAATATCTGCCCTGTAGGCTTCAGTTTACATGTGAGCAATGATGAGGTGGACTTCCCTGCCCTACTCTGTATTTGGAGTCTGCCTGAAGGTGGACTGCACCCTGGCAGTGGCTTTTATTCTCCGATGCCTGTAAGGGGAGCCTGGGTGAGCAGTCAGGATGCCTGCCTGGCAGCCCCAGGCAGGGCGGCAGGATGCACCTTGCTGCTGAGAGGGATGCATTCACTCTTGGTTACCAGCAAAGACTGGAGAGATCAGTGTGTTAACTGTTGATTAGGTAAAGAGGAGGATGGTGCTGAAAAAGGAGCTGCTAAACAGGGAAATTCAGCACTGTGGGAACAGGCAATATGGTTACCTCTTGGGTAAAATGGTAAAGAAACAGCTAGCCTTTCTCTCCAAAACGAGATTCCCAGCAGGATGATGCAGGAGGCCTTGCACTTTGAAGTGTGTTAATTAACCTAGCTGGTAAACACCTGTTAGCTTAATTAGCTGTTACCATTTCTGTAGACACAATGCCAAAGCAGTTAACCAGCAACTAGGTGCGATTTGTAGTGATATGGTCAAGCATTACATTTTGTGAAATTAGCCTCTGACTAAGCATGGGAATGATTTAGTTGTTTTGGCCAAACATGAAGAACACCAAGGCAAATTAACAAAACAGCAGATTAATTTGTAACCTTTAAATAGTGTTGTGCCATGCAGAACTTAGCACTGAGGCCTGTAGCACTACAGATTTGTCTAGATCGGTTGCTGATGTCTAAGCAGACTGAAGTGTTGCGTGATTATCAAACCTCCCAAGCACCAAAATGGGGACTGTCACTCATGCTACTGTCTGTCCATAGAGCACAAAATCAGCATCAGAACCCCCGCTAGCTCCTTCTGTTTCTGAAGGAGAGGATGAAGGTGGTGAAGAGGAAGATAATGACGAACCTCCCTCTGTTATCGCACTGTGGCCTGAACATACAAAATCAGTAAGTCCCAGCTTTGGTTAGCATTGCAGTTGGTGTATTTCAGAGCTGCATGTTTCTGATCAGACAGCATTTGGCGTTCATGGATGAATGGGCTGGAGTCCTATCATGACCCAGTGCTTCACCCACGTCACTGACACCAGGAAAACCTAATTTGAACTTTCACAGGTAGTCGTGAGTTTCCTGTGATTCTGATAGGGAGCATGTATTCATCTTAGTATCAGATAAGAGGTAGCACTATGTCTGTTAATGCTACCGATGTAAAAGTGAGCAGCTTTGTCCAAAGTATCTGTATAGGCTCTCTGGCATCAGTGGAGAGAGTGATCATCAGACACAGTCCACACCCTTGCAGGATACTTAGGGGAAACTGTCCCCTGGAGGTACCTGTTGCTCTCTGCAGACTTTATAAGGAGATAAATGAACAGCTTAGACCAGCCCCTTAGCTTTTACATGGCTGAACTTTGGTGAGGAGAGTCCTACACAGAGATGCATTGTAAAGAGAAGGTAGGCCTCTGAAGGACTGGAATGCAGTTCCTAATGGCCACTCCCTAAGGCTTGAAATACTGATGAGAAGTCAGTTCCACCATTGTGATCAGAAAAGGAAGATGTTTCCTGCTTCCCTTTAGATACTTGGGTAGCAACTAAAGAGTCGTTTTGTTACCCATGAAAACACACCAACATCAAGGAACAAGGCTCTGGGGCCCTGGACGGATCTAATTCTCTATCCTTGCAACACAGTAAATTAATTGGTTCAGGCATCTTTTTAGAAAATCAATGAAAATTGAAAACGACACTGGCCATGAACTTGTGTAAAACCAGCCTGTCATTTTTGCCTGTTGAGTTTGAGAAGTGGACAGCAAAACCAAACGTTTTAAGAGCCCTGGATGGGGCAGACAGCATCTTCCTAAGGGTTTGCATTTGAAATACAATCTCAGGGGCGTCTCTGCAAGCCACTTTTCTGACGCAAAATACTTTCTTGTCACAGATCTACACATGCTCTGTAATTGAACCTGCTGCTGCACCAGCACCAGCTAAAGGAGCCACCACTCGCCAGCCTGAAAACTCAAACACTTTGTACAGAGACATGTACCGGCAGCAAAAGATACCTAAAATGACAGATGAGGAGATCCTAGAGAAACTGAGTATGTATTCTGTACTTTTTGCCTGATAAAGCAGAGTATGCTGTTATGTAGGTCTCGGGATTATAGATACTCAGTGTTCATCCTCACTTTAGTGTTGCAGAGTCACGACTCCCTACATGAACTGTTACTGTGCTTAAGAGGAAGTGAGAGAGCACTCTGGGTATTCCTTCTGCCACCGAGGGCAGCTGTGACAGAGTTGGATTTGCCTGAGCTGCCTTCTATGCTAAAGGCTAAAGCAGAGATTGTTTCTGGTTGAGCAGAAGGCTGTGATCTACTGACTGGCCTAGTGAATGCCTGTGTGCTAATCGCTAAATGGAATAGAATATTTGGGTTCCTAAATTATCTTTATACTCCTGATTCTTACCAGTCATTGGAGCCAAAATACTTTGCGGAAATCTGTTGCGTTGTTGGTTTTGGATTTTTTTGGTTTGTGGTTTTTGTTGGTTTTGGAGGTTTTTTTAAACCCATAGACAACTACAGCACTAAGCTGATTCTTCCAGCCTCAGGGAGCTCTCCTGCCCCAGATATTCTATTGGTTCCATTTTTATGATTGCTGTTACTACTACTTCTACTAATATATCTGAGTTCATTTTTATAAGAATTCCACGTTTTTGTCAGAGCGAACTCCTTTGAAAGAACATCAGTTGACACCATGGATAGAGAGGAAGAGGTGTTTTCAATGTGCCCCAACAGGAAAAAAAATACTTTTATAACAGTCCTTATTTTATTTCTTAGCATTATGCATATAAAGATGTACCAGAGACACATCTGTGTGGCATGATCAGGTAAAACTGCACTGCAAGTCTTTCTCAGGAGGCAGCCTGCAGCACATCCACTGTATATCCTTCAGATACATGGCACTTTGTCGTAGCTCATTCCCAGACAGTTAATACTATTAGAATCCTAACCATTGGCCCAAACCCCTGTGTAGGTCATACTCTAGGAAAAGACACCAAGCCCTTTGTGATTCTGCAGTACAACAACTTAATCTGCTTCTTGCACTTAGTAACTGCCAGTGCTGTGTTCTCAGATGAAAACTTATTGGGTTCATAACATAGCCCAGTTTACTCTGTGCCTACCATTGACTGTTAGGACAGAAAGTGGATTGAGCTACACCTCCTTGTGTGTGATCTCAAAGCCAATACCATTCTGTCTTTAATGGGGGCAACAGCTTGAAAAGGGGTGCAGTCTGGCTGTGGCTTCTTCACAGTGGTTGTCAGTGCTCATTCTTGTGCTGTACCAACCTTTCTGTTGTACCTGCCCTGCCACTGATGGCTGGTGTGACTGCAGAGGCTGAAGCCTTCCTCAAGTGTGAGATTTCAGCTGCTTGTGTAGAGTTCTCTGCACCCTTAGCAGGTTTACAGGACTATCAACAACTGAATCTCAGTGCCATTAGGGAGTGTCCAAGGGCTAAGTTCAATAGCTTTAGCTGAGGGCACAATGAAGTAAATTCCAGAGCAGATAGTTACTTGCAGGTATGTCAGCTTATAATTCCTCCCTTTATAAGTTTTCAACTGAGGCTAAATGTTTGAGGCAGGCTTTGCAAAATTGTTTTAGCAGGCAGTGTAGCAGGTGGTGGGGATGTCCTGTCGTCTTGCCGTTCTGGCAGGCAGGATTCCTGGCTAGGCATCCAGTCAGATGCCCATTTGGATGCTGAAGCCCTCTGCTCCAGAGGAAGGGCCTAGACTGGGGAGGGAGGTGTTTGTTCCTACTTACAGTGAAATCTGTGTCACCTAATTTTGTTTTGGATGCACAGGTGAACAAATAAGCATGTGTTTGTGTTTGTGATACAGGAATATTGCCAGATTGGTCCAACAAAATATGCTGTGAAACATTGGAAGTCTTCCTCCTGAACTAATCATCTTAAAGTATTTCAGTGATGCACATTCCAAGTTAAATCTTTGGAAGTCATTTGCATTGAGCCGTCACTTTCGTTGTTTGTATTTTATCTGGGAAACTACCAGGCCAGAGAAAGCAATATTTTTTTTTTTTTATTATGCCTTCAGATTTGTTTATCAGATCTTGGCTTTTTCACTCAACACAAACACAGCATCCTAATGACTGCTTGCTTTCCTTCCCGTTCAGACTGCCTGCACCTCTGAGTAGGCAAGAAGCCGTCAGACAGTGTATGCTTTACTTTTTGCCTTCGGTGGCAGATGAGCTGCACAGTGGCTGATGGACCCAGACTGTCCCTTGGCCTGTGCTGGATGGGCTGGCCCTGCCTTCCCCTGCCACAAGCGCAGAACTGCCGGGAGGCAGCAGCAGCCCATCTGGCCTGGCTTCTGACTTGCATCACCTGCACTTCTGAAATGATCAGCATCTCATTTGTGCAGCTGTCTGTGTGACACTAGCGCCTGAGGAGTGTTGCTGCTGCTGTTACCCAGCACGGCTGTGCTTGTAGGTGAAGGTCAACCAACGTGTGTGCAGTGTTGGGAGTGCGAGTCAAATGCTAGTTACTGATCCGAGTCAGGCTGAAGACAAGCAGTGTGGTTCTTAAAATGTCACAAACAAGGTCTTCTCGGGGACTTAGCCTGGTAATAGATGATTAGGGTCATAGTTCTTAAAGCCCTGTAATTCTTGAGATGCTGCTCTTTAAAAACATAAAGGCATTCTTTTGGCAAGCCGCTGAAACGTTGAGAAGATCCCCTCCTGGGAACACTTTGCAATATTCTTCCTGTTCTGCAAGTGTTATGAATTGTAATAATTATAATTGCCATAAGCATAGCGATATCGTGTGTAAAGTCAGCCATAATGAAAGCCATCCATATACGAATAATTCAGTTCACCGACTACACCCCTGTAGGAATGGAGGAGGAGAATCTAATCGATGTCCCAGGTATTGATACCTTAATTTGAAATCAAAGTTTGAGCGCTTGGGTATGACTATAGCCGTAGGGTGGGATTGTAGCGAGAGCGCAAAGTTAATCCCAAAGTCTGAGTCACATACACCATGTAGCTGCATGCCTGGAAGCATGAAATTCAGCATTGGGCGAAGTGGCAAGCACTGGGCAGGGGGCAACCATCACTAGATCGATATCTGGTGTTATGTGGATTGCCCGAAGGAGTGTGAGACAGGTGGAGGCCTCGTGGTCCCAGTCCCCCGTTCTCTTTGCCCTGAACAAAAGGAGCCACTACCTCCCCCCCATGCAGGTGTAAATTGACAGACTTTGTGGCATTAACATAAGTGATAAGATATAGTCATCCCCACCCACATGTATACCCTGGTGATGTAATGTATGTAATGTAATGTAATGTAATTTTGAGTATAAATATCACCCCAATTTCGGCCCAAAAATTGGGACAGGATCAACTCGGAACCATACCAACGACCAGACGGATTGACGAATTCGCTCCTTCTCCATCCCCCTCACTTGGGACGCTGTGTGGGTAATATTATTTACCTCAGCAAACGCTGAGAGATATACTTTTCCTCCCCGGGTGTATTTCACGTTTTCTTCTCAGGTTCATTTCTGTGCTTCCCTGAGTGTATCCTTGATTCTTGTTTGTCGTGATTTTACTGTCTCTTGTTCCACTGTATCCCTGTTATACAGGCTTGTCTATTTGCCAAGTGGTCGGGCCTACAGTGGACAAGTTGTTATTGTTGTTGGTGTGTATGTGTGTGTATAGTGAGTGTTGTTGTTATTATATTAGTGATAAACCTTGTGTTATACCTGTAGCTTTTAATTTGTCACCGGCAATACAAAAGAACCTGCAAATGTTGCTGTAAACGATTACTATTTGTCTCCCAATGTGCATCTGTCGCATATTTGGTGCTGGCCGCATAAGACCGGATTGACTTCCCCATTTTCGCAACAGCAAGTGGCGCCTGTTCATCAAAATTGATTCCAGAACCCAAGGGGCAGTTAACCTTCAGAAGTCTTCAACCTTCTGGTGAATCGCAGAGACTATTTATTCCTAAGAAAATGAAGGCTCTGTTGTTCCAGCTCTCATGAATGTTTCTAGACAAGAAACACTTGCATTGGTCCTTGTTCTTTTCTGATACATGGCTCCTGTGAATGTTTCTCAGTGTTCTTGGTTTCCTGTCAAGGTGACTCTCCAGAGGACTGTAGAAAATCAGTCTTCATGGAGACTATCTGTGCTGCAGAGCTGCCTATATTGTTGTTGTCACCCAACTGGCTACAAATGGCTCACAACCCCAGACAGTGGGGCTGCCTTTCTGATCTGCTGGAAGGTGGTATCTCCATTTTTAATGTTGTTTCTTTCAGGGAGCACTGTGAGCATGGGAGATCCTAAGAAGAAATACACTCGATTTGAAAAAGTTGGGCAAGGGCAAGTCCAATCGCAGTTACTTATACAAAAGTGTGGGCCAGGTATTTTGCTGGAGTAATATTGTGATAGGTAGAGACACGGACAATTTAAAGTGTCAAAATCCAATGCGAATTTTATTATATTAGCAAGCGAACAAGAGCAAAGGCAGCGCTGGGCGGCCGGGGAGTCTGCGCTCCGCCAACGGCTCGCAACTTCCCGCCTCGTGTAAGCACATTATATACAGTCTCATTTCCTGCATTCGTGATGTCGCAATCAGGTCGATACTCTGCGCATGTTCCTTCTGTTGCTGGGGGGTCTTTCTCTGCCTCCTGGTGATCCTAAGGATGACGGCTGAAGGTCTTCCTCGTTGCCCTGTGGGTGGACTTATGCAAGAATGTGACTACTCAACCCCCTCAGCTACGGGTCCTGTTGACTTATGCAAGAATGTCCTTCGGTTGGGCTATCAAGCCTTGCGGGCACATAAATCTTCCATCCATACCTTCCCATACAGGTTTAATGAACAAAGCACAATATGTTACTTATTACAATATCAAGCGTGAAGTTGGGCAAGCTCCAAATGTGTTCAGACACTGGGTTTAGATACTCCTGTCTCTCAGTACTGATCAGAATTTGTAACTGTGGTCAGAAGGCGTCGTCAAAGACCACTTGATGCTGGCAATATCTTGTCTGCAGCAAGGAGCAGGACCTGGAAGATCTACTGTCCCTCAAGTTTGTGACACCCGTTTGCTTGTTCTCTTAGGAGAAATTATTTTTGTATGTCTCAAAATAATACGGCCATGCTAAAGAAAGGAGAAAAAACTTTATTGCCTGAAAGAGCAACTTAGAACCTGGTAGTTGTCAGGCAAATAACAGTTCTCAATAACATTTCTTTCAAATATTTTGCTTTAAAAAATATTCAGTGATCAGGATTATAACAGCATAGTTTAGAAACTGAAACCAGAGATTAAATAATAAGCTGTCTTTTCTAGCAGAGGTAGTGAAAAACAATAGTAATAAACACAGTGTCAATGCATTGTCCTTTCCTCAGATGGCTGGCACATGTTCAGGGCTCTCAGAATGACTGCATGGTGTTGCCAGAGTTTCGCAGATAGATCCAAATAAGAGGTCTGAGAAGGCACAACTAGACTCTGTGTGTGTTACATTCGCTGGAAAAAAAACACACACACACACACACACCCCGGAGGGGGAAAAAAAAAACAAAAACAACACACCTCAACAGAGCAAAACTGGAGAAAATGGGAAAAGGATGATATATATTGTTTTCCAGTTTTTGTAGGCACCCCGCCCTTCATTTTTGGACTAAAATAATTTAGTATGAACTCAGAAGATTTGTACCAGCCCTTTTTCTTCCTGTTGGACCTAAGTTTTATCTTGGATACCCTGCATGGCAGGGGGCTGGTGGGCTGCTGCATGGTGCGCTGCTGGCTCAAGGAGTGGAGGAACTAAGGTGTTTTAGAAACACTACAGGCAGCAGAGAGCTCCTGACAGGGCTTTCATTTATAGGGTTTAAACCACTTCTCATGTCTTCACTGCTCTTTTGTTTCTAGGGCATCTGGAACTGTCTATACAGCACTTGACATCACCATGGGACAAGAGGTAGGTGTCAACAGCCCCAGCAGATTTTGCAGGTATTCAGCGCTTTCCCCACCCTGGTGCGAACAGTGCATGGGCTTTCGGATCGCCTGCAACATACTTCATCCGCTGTCTTCAGCTTTTCAGGGAAAGCTCTTTAAGGGCAATGTGTTTCTGTGCCTCAGGAACTGAATGCTTCCTGCGATTATCCACTTTCCAGCAACCATTACACCGAGGGGTTGATTAATACCTGAAAAGGTGCCTGCAAATTCCTGGGGGGAGGTCCTGGTTTCCTTGGAATCAGTAAGAGCCTTGGTGCTCTCTGTGTTTGGGCTGATGCTTCACCCATCGCTTTCAAGGCCCATCATAAGAGCATTGGTTTTTTACTGTGTCTTGAGAACAGATTGGTGCTCTCCACAGTGTTGTTGGTCCCAAGCTGGTACCATATTACATCATCCCTGACTGGGTATTTGAATGGAGAGAAATCTGTAAAGAAATCCCAGCAAGCCTTTGGGCCTGCTAAAAACTATAATTTTTACTGCCAGTGTGAATGTATTGATTTAGAAATTGTTACATCTCTGTTCCCCAGTGTGCACAAAGTTGTGCTCCCACAGAGAATGTTGGTCTCTATATACAATTTAACTCTACATTTACAGCATGTAAATCTGCCTGTGGACCTGGCCATAGATTAGTTAGTAATACAAACTGTAAAATCTAAAGATCTGTCACAATGAGAGGCCTCAGGAGAACCCCAGGGGTGGTCACAGATTCCCCTGTTGCTGTGAGGAATAAATAGCTTCATTATGTCCCTTAATTTCGAACAGACTTTGTCCTTATTAACAACCAGCAAGAATGCAAGGAGGGCAGTGGTATCTTTCAGAGAACACACTAGCTCTGTCTTAGTTACTGAATATATTGATGCATCCATTTGCTGCTGAAGGCTGCTATCATTCAGTCCCAATTTATCGTAATCACAGGTTCAGACAGTAATACTATTTAGCATTTTTTTCTATCACGTGTTTCATCTTCAAAGTATGATGCAAGACCTAATTAAGGAGAGATCGTGTTTAGGACGCAGTTTTGTGTTTTATTCACACTGAAGATGGTTGATACACACACTGACAGACGAGAAGACGTATATCAAGAGCAAAGATCTCTCCAAAACAATACAGCCGCGTTTAGGTCCGGTGTTGGTGACAGCCCGTTACAGCCCATGAACTGGTTGCAGGGAAGTGGGGGCCAGGGGGTTGAGAAGCAGATCTTGAAGGAAAGCAGAGTTATCGCTGACAGTCCATGTAGTGGCCCATTTAAAGTGGCATCTTAACATTAATTTCCTTTTCCAAGCCAGAGGTTTTGAATATGTACAAACTCTGCCTGAAAATTTGGCTGGAAAACCTGGCACGAGAGCAGAGGGCTGCTCTCTTATGGCCTGTGTCAAGAGCAGGACTGGACAGAGGGGGAGGCTGGCCAAATTGCATAAGGAGGGAAAAAGAGGCAGACTTTAAATATCCCCAGGGCCTCGTCTCCCCAGGAGGAGTGTGTCGGGTAGGAGGGCTCTTCTGGGATGGGTTTGTAGGAGCCCTTGGCTGGAGCTGAGCTTGAAGGCAGGGAAGGAAGTAGGGCTGAGCCCAGAGGGATGGGGCTGGCAGCAGTGGGCTCAGCAAGGAGGCCAGGACGAAAAGCTCAAGCAGGGAGCATGGTTGCCTGGGGGAAGATGGAACTGGGTGGAGGAACCAGGATGAGGCAGAGGCAGGATCGCTATAGGGTTCAGAGCAAAAGTTGTCATATTAGTAATAATCAGACAAGGTGGTGTCTTAGAGAATCCTGTTGCTCTTTGGGGCTACAGCTTCAGATTTCTGATTAATCATTTCTGCCTGTCAGCAAATACATCTGAATCTTACGGGTAGTGTCTCATCCACCTGCAGTGCTGCACTTTACAACTGCTTTTAGACAGAGGCCTACAAGGCATCTAAAACCTCTAAGCTTCTAAATTTTAAAAGAAGAGCAAAGAAAAATAGAAACTCATTTGTCACAGTCCTCGGCTTAAACGGATAGCATTCCACCCAAAATGGTGTTTGCTTCTGAAAAATGACTAATGTACTATTTCCAAATGTGCTGTAGAGCCTGACAATAAAATCTTTGTCCTGCAGCCTCCCACCCAACAGTGATCCGCTTCATATCGAAGGAAGGGTCTTTTTCATTTTTGGCAAACAATAGTTTGTCATATGGATGGAGATAGCACACTGATTGCAGCAGCAGCCATTCTGTCTGTGATTTCAGGGGATAGTCTGTAACAGTAATTGACATTTCTCTTTCCAAACCTGATATGCCTTCATTTGGAAAGTTGTTACTTTAATACTGTTGAAGCAGCAAGCTATTCCTCTTGACAGCACAATATCCGGGCATTACTCACAGTTCATTTAGAAATTAAATCTTTTAGAGGCATTTCCTTCTTGTGTGATGAAATCAGGTCATTAATTTTTACCCTCATGTTTGTTTTTTACCTATCAGTGCCTGCAAGCCCTGGATTTCCTTCATTCAAAGCAAGTGATTCACAGGGACATCAGAAGTGACAACATTCTTCTTGGAATGGATGGGTCTGTCAAATTGGGTAAGTATTCATGGTCAGGCACAGCCTTCCCAGGCTGTGGCATGGGGCTGCTTTTCACTGACTGCCAGTTGCCGAAAAGTGATGCCTGTCGTAGTGCGCTGACCACTGCTGCAAGCTACAAGCACAATTCCAATGTGCAGAGAGGCATTGAAAGGAGAAAGGTGTAAAGAGTGGCTTTGGTTTGTGTATGGCCCTTCCAGAGGGAGGGAGTTACAGCCTTAAGGTTCAAGTAAATAAAAGGCACTGCAGGAAACTTGAGGGGTTTTTCTTAAGTGGCCAATTCAATATTTCCGTGGCTACAGCACTGTGTAAACAAAGCATGGCCGCTTTTCCAGATAGATTCAACATGTTCTTGGGCATATAGTGGGGATTTCTTTTGCTTGCTTTCATAATTCAAGCTGGCTTTAACAACACCTGCTTTTCTCCTCAGCTGATTTTGGCATCTGCTCGGATCACCCCTGAGTAGTGTAAACAGAGCACAATGGTCGGGTCTCCATATTGGATGGCACCAGAAGTGGTGACAAGAAAAGCATACATCCCCAAAGTGGACATCTGGTCGCTTGGAGTCATGGCAATAGAGATGGTGGAAGGACAACCTCCTTACCTTGATGAAGATGCTCTCAGGGTAAGGTGCACATAAAATCAGATACCACTGTCTTTCAAATCTATCCCATGTTAGATCCCCATGAAACAAAATCCCAGCTGCATCAGCTGCAACCAGTTCCACCACAGCCCACTTCTAAAAAATGTCACTGGAGCACAGCAGCATGTACTGTAGCCTTGGTTAAGTCAAGGGAAGAACCTCCAAAGAGCAGTGACTTGTAGCCAGTTCAGAAATGTGCCATTTCTACCTTCAAAGGTGCTTGAAATATCTCGTGCGGTTTTTGAACTCTTTGAGCTGCATCTCTGAATGACAATAATTTTCCACGGGCAAGTTTATCCAATTGGGGAATTTTTCTGAAAAGCATTCCAACTGTATCTGGAGGCAGAGAAGTCTTTTCAAACTCAGGTCAGTGCTGATGGCTTACCTGAGCCTTTCAGGAAGTGTCACTGTTTATAGAAATGCCATAATTACTCATTAGCAAATAACTTTCTAGAAATGTGTTTTAGCACAGAAACTTGTAGTAAACTAATGTATTTTTAATGTTTTGAAGTTTTCAGTTTCGTCCTCATTCCTTAAAATGAAATTACCATCTTTTATCCCAAATGGATATGTAATAGTGGAGGAATGTATACCAAGATAAAACCTCATGACTTAGATTAGGTGCTGCACAGTTAGTTCCTGATAGGGATGCAGGAATTTATGAGGAAATTAATTGTGACCTATGTGTATAGATACATAATTTTTGTTAAGGCTACAAATAAAATACAGCATGACGTGTCGCTTTTCTCATAGCAGTAAGGCTGCACTCTCTCTGGTCTATGGCACCTAGACAGCGTACTGCAGGCTGAGAGAAGAAACAGCAGAACGGTCAGGAAATACCGCCAGGCAGGCTACTTAAGAAAGGAATACAACAACTACACCAAGGTCAGTCTTTCACTCTGTTTGAACAAAGGTTCCTGAGTTTTCTTGGAAGACTTCTTTTGGTTTGGTAGGTGCCTTGGGGTTTTTGGTTCCAGTGCACACACGAGGAGCGAAGTGCACTGTGCCACCTCGTGAGGGGGGATAAGAAGCAAACAGGTTTAGGTTCAGACTGATACTGAATAAGCTGAGTGCACCGCAGCTGGCAGGCTGGCAGTAGGCCTGTGTCACTGGTTTGGAGGCTGAAAGTTCCCAGCTCCCTTAACCTCAAATATTGATTAGGGCTCCTCAAGAAGCCTCAGGTCAACTGTTAGGAAGGGAACTGTATTTCTTATCCCTGATCAAATTCACATTCAGCAATTCCTGCCCTTGCCCAGATTATTTGAGATGCTTTTTTTCTCCATACATGCCTCGTCTCCTGCTGGAGTTGAGATCATCTTAAACACTTAGAGCTTCAAGGCGTCTTCAGGTGTCTAATTGCAGGAGGTTAAAATCAGGCATCTGGAGTTGGTACTATCTGTGTTAGCTTCCTGTACTCTTGTGCAGAGGTTGTTACCTCTGAGCTAGGAACAGTGAACAGCTTGTGATGGACCACCTCAAGTTCCCCAGTTAGCAGCTGATTTTATTAAGGTGAGTCAGCCCCAACAGGGACAGGATCCCTCTGTGGTTGTGTGTGGAATCACAGACTGCGGTGAGAGCTCTCAGCTGCATCCAAACAGGAGAGCTTATAAGCAGTCAGACCTGTGTTTACAGGTCAGGTTTTTAGCTGATGGCACACAGTAGTTATTTGGGTTAACAGTCACATTTAGACCATACCCAGGGAGTTCTGCAAAGCCTGGAAACCAAAGGAAGCTCTTTCAAATTTTTGTGAATGCTTCTTCTAATAGTGCAAGGCACACAGTTTCTGACATGAATTGAAATACCTAAATATATTATAAGGGCATTAAAGGATCATTAATCATAGAGTTAACACCATTCTTAATGTAGATGTATTTGTTGTTTTCCACGTGTAGAGCAAACGCATCCCCTGTTGCTCAGGTTCTTTCCAGCCTATGCAGAACTCACACGAATGAACCATCTTCCAGCCATGAACGTCCTGGATATTTCTGTGACAATGTTTGTTTTCTCTCACTGTGATTTCCTTCCACGAGACATATGCCGAGGGCCCGAAGGACAAATATTGGTGCAATAAATAGCCTTTGAAATGCTGGTTGGACCTCCCCAGTTTCGGTTTTAAGAAAACCCCAACAAACCAAATCCTAGGCATTTCTGTTTACTTTTTCATTTATTAACCGCAGCGCGTCAGTTTTCTTCAAAACTGTAGCATATTTTCCAAATCATCTGTATGTTGTTCTGTCATGTATCCTGGTGGCCTGGATAACTTTAGGGTATCATTTTCACAGACTGCAGCTGCAACTGTATGCCAAATCCGTTCTTGTTTCTTGGTACGTTAAAGGAATACATGAGCTTATTGTCCCTTTTCAGCTACTGCAAACACTCATTTCCTTTGTACTGTACTTGTTTGTTTTTCTCTGCCAGCTGGATCGCAGGAAAGCAAAAGATACATGACAAGAAGGTACTTCAGCTTCCCCTAGACCTTTTTCTGTTGTTATAGAATTATTTTAAAGGTGCAGTACCTAGCTAAAGATGACTCTCATGATTGGTGTCCTGTGAAGAAACAAGCAACTGAAACAGCTCCATTTGTCCTGGCACTCCTGTTTCACAGCCAGTTGAATGTAGCTGGAATAAAATTTCCAAGGCTGACATTGGTGTTGTATTCCTTTACTGTAGGAGAAGTGACATCCCTGCGGCAGCACAATTTAAACAGAAGACAGGCACTCCGGCTCACCACTGTGCCCGGTGCCTGAGGTCAGCTGCAGATGGACAAGACAAGACTGATTTTGTGACACTTATGTTGTGGGAAAAGTAAAGAAACTTCCTTTCATTGTTTTTACTCTAGGATAGTTCATTTGCGTTTTTAGGCCTGGAAATTTTCCTCTGTATTTAAGAGGATAAGAGCAAAGTCACTTTGGCCACTGTCTCTTTAAATGCCAGTAGCACAGAGCTGTTCTTGTCATGGCAGACATTTTTATGGAAGACTCCTAGGCCTATTTCTATTATTATTACTGTATATTTGAGACATATTCTGTAAGTTTAAGTTTGAACAGTTCAAAATGTTTGTCTTGCATTTCTAAAGAACATCTTGCAAAAGCAGAATAAACTCATCTGTCTAGCTTCTCAGCATGTTAGACCTTGGTTCCAAGTGAACCGCACTGGATAATACTTGCCCAATGTTTTGCAAAATTATGTTCTAATTCCTTGGCCTGAGGTATATCGGGAGGACTTGCTGATCTGGAATTTGGAGACTGCTGAAATAATATATAATATTTGTGCATGCAACTTACATATCTGTGTTGAAAATGAGGTTCCAAATGTTTCTGTTTCTTTATCCAAGGAATAAGCTGATGGATCTACTTTTTTTTCATCCAGTTACCATTTTTATCTAGAACAGAGCGAAAAACTGGACTATCTTTGTTTTAAGGAAGCTGTACTTTAGGGAGCAGTGAGCACTGCAGGGATGCATATTATGTAATAATCCTTTGAAATAATACAGCTGGACCAAATTCACTCTTTAAAATAGCCAGTAAAGCTGGTGTCAATACATGGAGAAGCAAAATGTGCTTTTGCTGATGTAGTTCATACTAACGAGGTCAGCCAATGCAATCAGCTGTCAAGGCAAGATCACGTTGATGTTGGAGTAGCTGTGGCTGCATTGGGGTTTTTTTTGCAGGTATAGAAAAATCATCTCTAACCCTCTGCCAGGGAAGAAGCTGACACTGGAGACTGCGCCTTAAAAAATGGGCTCTCTATAATCAGTTAAGGATAATAAAGAAACAGGTGGAGTCTTGTGTTTCTTTTTTCTCTTGGTGACGTATCTGATAGCGACAAATGGGACACCAGAGCTGCAGAACACCAAGCAACTGTCCGCTGAGTTTCGGGCCTTTTTGAACTGCAGCCTGGAGAGGGATGTGGACAGGCAAGGGTCTGCCAAGGAACTTCTACAGGTAAAACGCGACACAAGTGAAACAGCTGTACTGTGTAATGGTTTTCTCATCAGCTGAACTTGAAGGCACCAGATGGAGCCCCCTCATATTTAGTCTCCAGTCTTGGTGCTTTTCAGATGAAAAATAAGTGGAATCATACAGTGGTTTGGGTTGGAAGGGACCATTAGGGGCCATCTAGTCCAAACCTGCTGCAGTGAGCAGGGACATCTTTAGCTACATCAGGTTGCTCAGAGCCCCGTCCAACCTGACCTTGAATGTTTTCAGAGAATGGGGCTTCTACCACCTCTCTGGGCAGCCTGTGCCAGTGTTTCACCACCTTCAGTGTAAAAAATTTCTTCCTAATATCTAATCTAAGTCTCCCCTCTTTCAGTTTGAAATCGTTACCCCTTGCCCTATCACTACCCTCCCTGATCAAGAGTCCCTCCCCACCTTTCCTGTAGCCCCCTTTAAGCACTGGAAGGCCACTATAAGGTCTCCCCGAAGCCTTCTTTTCCCCAGGCTGAACAACCCCAACTCTCTCAGCCTGTCCTCACAGGAGAGGTGTTCCATCCCTCTTACCATTTTTGTGGCCCTATTTTGTATTTTGGTAGTATGTTCAGTTTTACAGGGTGGCAAAATAACTGAAGTAGAATGATACCAGGTGCAGAGGCCTGAAATGGTGTTGGGGACTAGTGTATGCAGAGAGGTGACCAGGGAGGAGCGCAGTGAAATCAGTCCCAGCCAAGCGGTCAGAGGTTTGGCAGTGGGAAGGAAGGGGCTGTGGGTGCTCACTGTGAGCATCAGAGTGGCCCTGGCTTGTCCATCCTGCCCCACTCCTAGAGGTTTCTGCTGCTGAGCCCCACTTTTAGAGGTTTCTGCCAGCAAAACAGGGACAACTGAGAAGGACTTGTCATAACTCCATTTGTTGCCTGGCATAGTCAAGTAGATGAAAACTGCTGCAGGTTTAGTGCCAGGTTTTGTGGCAGATAGGGAGTGGCACCATGTGCCACTTGGCTGTCCCTGCTATGAAGGTGCCAGCCAGCACAGGAGGGGCAGGGGATGGGATGGTCAACACTGCTGTCCCTGCAACCCAGAGCTGAGTCCATCAGCACTCTGTCACTTGTCTTCCTGCTCTTCTCTTGGTGTTGAAAACCTGTACCTCAGTGGCCTTCAGAACATATGGGCCTAAATACCACTGGGATAAACATTTCCTAGAGGTACTGGAGTTCCCTGAGGAATGGCTTGTGTCCCTTTTCTGACAACTAAAATAGCCCATGTCTTTAGAAAACAGGAACCTAAGTAAGTATTTTGAGTTTCCTGACAGGAGCAAGGCGCTGGGACAGCAAGCAGCATTCCCAGAGCACTGGCAGGGCAAAAATGCCAGCAAGCTGAAGACATCTTGATAAATGGATTAATCAAATGATGGGCCATGTTTGCCTGTGATAGCAAGGTACTGGACATGAACACGCAGGTGCAGGTGATCCCCTCAGTCCGATTTCTACATAGTCCTGGTAACCAGAGGAATACTGCTTGAGCCCATGAGTAACTGAGTTTGGAAAATAACAGTTCATTTATTTTTTTTTTTCCTTTGGGCGGCATCCATTTTTAAAGAAAGCCCAGCCTCTGTCTAGCCTGACTCCTCTGATCATTGCAGCAAAGGAAGATTAAGAACAGCCACTGCTAGTGCTTCAAGACAGATTTCTCTCATGCCAGCTCAGCAGATTAAGAACAAAGACTCTAACCTAACCCCTAACCCTAACACTAACCCAACCCAGTCCCTCGAGTAAAAATTTATTGTTTGTCTTCTTCCTGCTTTCTGGCTCCTTAATTTATTTTTAAGGTGAAACAGGGCTTAAGACAGAGAGGTAATGACCAAAAATGCTTTGCTGCCTCGTCCATTTCCAAGGTAAAGCAAGCAGAGTTGGAAGAGTCTCTTCCTTCTCACCCTGTGAATAAGCTGTACATTCACTTTTAAATTGTCAGTTGTTTCTTAAAGATGGAAAGTCCCTTTTATGGTTGTTTATTTTTTGGTATGGTTTGGAACTGAAGGGTCTCCCTCATTCCTAAGTTGCCGAACGCACTGCCTTTTCACTACAGCCTACTTGCTGGTATGTGCCCAGTCATGGTCCTTCTAGATGAGGAAGAAAGTGAAATTGCATTTCCAACCAAAAATGAATGAGGGGTGGGGCAGACAAGGCCTCCTGGTGAGATACAGGCTTTCAGCTGTGAACATACAGTGTTTCGGTTCTTGACAATTTGATTTGTATAACATTGTAATCTGTTTGCCTGGATGAGAGTCTTACTGAACTGAAAAAGCAGAAAGATCAGTCCATGTGCTCAGAAAGGGCTCGTCTGATGCAAAGCTGCGAGAGAAAGGTGAGGTGAGAGCGGGCCCAGCGTTGCCTGGTGCTGCACCCCAGCAGACCCCTCGCAGAGCACAGAGCAGCCTCAGCATCCGCAGAGCCAGGCGGGAAGAAGGCGCTCGTGGCGGCAAGCAGCAGCAGACCAGCACTGAATCTGTGAGCTTGGCCTGGAGAGGGAGTAACCACCTCCATTTTGTGCATAACCTCCAAGAGCCCAGGGCCTGTCATCTGAAGTCCCTGCTTGCATGAGGGCTCCCAGATACTTCAGGCTGATGTGACACCATTGCAAACATGAGGCAAAAGTGGCGGGTTGTGTTTTTAAAGTCAGGCCCTTTTGCTGCTGCATGTTGTGTGTGTCATTTGTCCAGCCCAGCCATAGACTTAGGGATCAGATACAGGCGCTGCTGCTACTCCCATTGAGGTCAGGGAGAATTTGGTTGTTGCCCTCAACGGCAGCACAACTGGTTGCCTAAGAAGCGGGTGCTGATAATGCCCTGGGTGCAGGGGGGGCTGGAGGTGTCCCTCAGCTGAGCGGGTGGAAGGGACCTGCCCATGATCCTTGTTCTCCATCATGTAAAGCTGTCTGGGTCAGAAGTGGGTCAACATAGCAAACATGAAGCATGCAAGTCTCCTACATCTGTGTCTGCTGAGATTTTTGACCTTTGAACTTAAGGTGCACAAAGGCAATTGTTTTTTGTCACACAGTTCCTGTTAGTGTTAAGCAATGCTGCTCAGTCTGTAGCACAGCAACAGGGGGAAAAAGCCTCTCAGCTCCTCAGGTACGACTCTCATAAGGTGCCAGTATCTGCCTTAGCAGGTGAGCAAGTGGAAGGGGAGCTGCTCTAGATGGGAACTAGTAGGAAAGGACTGCACACATCGTAGCCCCAGTGAAGAGAACGCCTCCTTCTTGGGCAGAGCCCAAATTCAGTGGGGGAACAACAGGGAGTTACTCTGGTGCACCAGTGCTGCATCTGCACCACAGGTGCTGAGCACGTTTTGGGCAGATCTGCAAAAGAATTCTGCAACTCTTGACTGGATCAGGATGTCGCCAATGCTAAACTCCAGTTTAGTCTGAAGCAACTAGTTTACACCTGTGCTGGTGTCTGCTAGAAACCAAACCTTTTATCCCCCTGTTACAAACACAGGCATTCGATTTCCCAGAAAGTTTATGTATGTTCATCCTATTTCCTGGAACTAAATATCATAGTTGCATAGTTATTAGGCATGCGGCCTGGGTCTCTGAGAGGCTTCCATGGGGTCTCTAGTGGTCTCTGGTGGTCTCTGGTGGCCATTGAAGAGGTGTCTCTTAGTGTTCTTTCCATGAAATCTGAGTCTTTCTTCCATATGTGGGCTTATCTCATCTCACTGCCCTGTTTGCAGATTCCCCGGGTTCCTTATCCTGGTGGTTTACCTGCATTCCCCCAGGATGTGCCAGTCCAGTTGGCAAAATGTCCTCGTGGGTGTTCCTGCCTGAGGCTCCTTACAACAATTCCACCCTTTGAGACTTCCAAAGCTAATTTGGGAGTCTCACTCAAACTTTCTTATAGTAATAACACTTCTTGTCCTGTCTGAGGCCCCCTGTCATCCCAATTACACCTTGAGTAATTACTAGGAGGCACTGAATCATAAGACAACACAAAATGCATATGGTGACTATGGCTATGACAAGCATGAACAATTCTTTAGGCCATTTCAAACTGGGTGACCAGGAGGTAAGCCAGTCCCACCAAGAAGAACCTTTGGCCTTCTCCCACTCTAGCTCAGCCATTTCAATTGATGTTATTCCCGATTGTTGGATTTTAATCCCATCTTCAATGGATGTGCAACACTCCTTTCCAATTATAGCACAGGTCCCCCCTTGGCTTGCTAATATGTAGTCTAAGGCCATTCTGCTTTACAGGGCTATCATCCTGACCTGTAATAATGCAAACAAGGTGATCTTCAGTACCTTGATCTTAGCATTGGCTAATTGTTCTGCCAGGGTACTCCATTTGTTTATGTACCTCCCATATTTTCCTGCAGCACATATGGGGCACATCATATAAAAGAACCTGGCTCCCTCACTAATCACTGGGCGATCCTTTGTATCTATCGTGCTTTTATTTCTGGGAAGTCCCTTCAGTAAAGTCGTCAAGACTTGAAAAGGTGGGGCTAACACTCCTGTGTAACAGGAGCCATACCAGCCTAGGGAAAGCTATTTATATGCATGATCTCCACCTCTCCAATAAGATCCAGGCCAAGCTCCAAAGGCAACAGCTATGGAGGCCATGTTGTCTTCTCTGCAAAGGCACTCATAAAACAATGCTGCAGAGACAGTGCTGGTTCCCCAGGTAAAGCCAACACTGAGGCCTTCTGCTAGGGACCTGTAGTCCTAGCTGGAGACCCCCAAGAGTGGCACCTCCTCCACTTCCACAGGTGGACATCAGCACCAGACCAAGCTTTCACTGTCATTTCTACTTGGTCCCTGTACTTCATGCTGACATCACTTGTGACAACATTATTGCAAGGAAGGAACAGCTGTTTCTGCCAAGCTTCTCAGCAGCCTGGCAGAAACCCTTCTTTCCTTCCACTGCCATTACTGCCAAAGGCTCAACGGGAGCTCCTGTGTGGATGTCTGCAGCCAGTGCCGGTGCTGGCAAGAAACCTAAAATAGGACTTTGGAGAATTTGCATTGGAGCGTTCGCCATGTGGGAACATCTCTGCCCTAGGAAGGCTGGTTTTGAGGGGTCTTGACGTGCAGAAAACAGACTCCACAATCTGTGAGACTGTAAAATAGGTATGTTTAATCAGCGCTGGGCAGCACAGGGGGTAGCCCCACAAAGTCGTGTGCGCCCCAACGCGGCAACTTGTCCTAAATTTATACAGTCAAGCATTACATAATACATAAGATTTCCCAATACGCTTATACATATGTATGACCTGTCCCCACTTCGTATTAAAATTAGTCCCAAAAGTCATTTCCATAAACTTCTCCCATCTGCGCTTGCTCAGTGCCTCCTTGTGGTGGTCGTTGGGGGTTGAAAAGGTGAAGGCTGATGGCTCCTCTTCATCACCGCTGGTAACCCCTTGTCCTTGCGCAGACTCAGTTGCTCCTCGGCTCTTGCCCAAACTTCAGAGTCGGTTTCAGCTGGTTCTTAAGACAGGTTCATAATTCTTATTGGGGACTGTCTATTGTAGGGGGGCACAGGACTTCTTGCTTCAACTAATTTGTACAATGGCTAACAGAAACATTAAGCAACATCTATTAATTCAGTCCCCTGGACTATACAGCAATTAGGTAATCATTAAGCAGCGCCTTATCTACTAAGAATCCTTTAACTCCTTCTCTCAGTCTGGGTTTTTTTATTTCTAAAGATGAGATCAAAATCATGTGGAATGAAGGGTAGGCACAGGCTGTGACTATCAGCAGAGCCTCAGCACTGGGTTTTATCCTCTGGGGATGAGGGGAAGCAGGCTAAATCAGCCACTTCGGGGCCAAAACAAGAGGCTCTGTTGACCGTTCTGGGAAGGGAGATGCAGGCAGGGCCACCAGCGTGGGGCTGTCTTGGAGTGCTGGGAGTTGCCAGGGTAGGATGTGAGAAGAGGCAGTTTCACACATCCCAGCCTTTGGGGCAAGAGTTGCTTCCACGCAAGGAAGCATCAACCGTCTCTTTTTCCATGTTGATGTTAAGAGGGTTAATGTTTGTGATGGTGATGTTTGGCCTGGTAAATAGCCTGTACTGGCATCACTAGCCACAGGTGGGTTCATTTGTAAAATGAAGGAGGGAGCAAGGTGGGACTGCGCAGCACTGCTAAAGGAGGGAAAGACCCCATGAGGGTGGTGTCCTGCCCCAGCCTTGACCCAAGGCAAGGGGAGAAGGTGCAGCAGGTGAGGAATGGGGCTGGCAGCTCCCCACAAGGCAGCTTTTCTCTACAGCAGAGGTGTTTCAGCCCTTGGACCATTTTGTGCTGGGGACCCCAGAGCTGGACGCAGTGCTCTCCAGGTGAGTCTCAGGAGACTGGAGCAGAGGGAGAGCATCCCCTCCCTCCACCTGTTGGCCACGCTGCTGGTGATGCAGCCCAGGAGACACTTGGCTTATGGGCTGCGAGCCCCTATTGCCAGCTCATGTCCCATTTGTCACCTACCAGTATTCCACAGTCCTTCTCCACAGGGCTGATCCCATCCATCCATGCATCCATCCATCCATCCCCCAGTCTGTGCTGGTACTGAGGATCGCCCTGATGCAGGTGCAGGACCTGCACTTGGCCTGGTTGAACTTCAGGAGGTTCCCATGGACCCACTCCTCCAGCCTGTCCAGGTTCCTC